GTCTCTTAACTGCTTCCGTTTTGAAGCTATGGGTGGAAAAGACGGACAGACACATATCCTTTTATTATTATAGATTTAGTATTATTCTGGCGAGGCGGGGGCCAAGGGCACCCATTCTCACCTTAAGGTCCAACTGTAATTGTCTCTCATGATTGTGGAAGTGTATTATTGGTACCAAATATAAGAAAATTGGTGAAAACTTCGATAATTGAGAACCATGGTGGCCATCTGATGGCAGTTTGATTGTTAGTGGAGAAGTGTGTGAATCAAGCCTGTGTATCGGTAACAGAAGACCATGGTAGCCAACCCTCAGATATGAGGATGGCAATTTGATTGTTAGCAGAGGAATGTGTCAGGCCTGTGTATCGGTAACATATACCGTAATTGTTGTTTGTTTTTCTGTATGAAAAGTAAAAATGGGTCATTGGAATGAAGAACCTTTAGGGGTGGTATGATACAGCATAATTAACCCGGCATTGCACTGGAACACCTTCACTTCTGACTGTTAACTTAGATACTGTATTTATTTATAACTGGGTGGACTGGGACTGACTATAATCCTACAATACTGACATCACAATAGAGAGGGCATTGCAAGAATGAACTGCACTTAAAGCAGTAACCAAATCTGTACAGATTAGAGGTGTTAAGAGAGACAAATGACTGGAAAGTTCAGTGGCAACTCAAAGTAACAAAGGGATTAGCTACAGAGGGTAAAAATAAGTGGCCAGCAAGACTTTTTCGGATGAACATGTACTGTATATATTGCTCAACAGATATAGACCACAGGAATATTCTATACATGTACTTCAAAACCGGGAAGATGGACTTTGTTATAACACCCTTTACCTAACGTCTACATCACCGCCTTGTTCCTGAGTGTGCTATCCAATTCCCTCCAATTTTCCTTTGCCGCTCTAACTGCAAAACAATGTGGCACCCGTACTACACTGTCGCCTGAAAACATAGTATTTTTCTTAAACTAGATAGAAAAATATATTTTCAAGTTCTAAATATGCTTTGTATTTAGATTTTCAACGAAGTTGCTCAGTTGAAGAGTAGAGAAAATTAGGAACTGGTAGTGTACAGCAGCCCAGCCCACCCATTGCTAAGCTGCCGACCTCTCCCCTCCGCCCATTACACCACCTTATTCCCACTAATAACATTTGACCTTAGCTCACAGCTCACCCAAGACAAACATGTTAGATAACAACCAGCCGTAGTGCAACAATTTATGGCTTCTCTAGAACAGGAAGGAAAAAACCAAGGAGGCGTAAACTGGCCATATTGCATCATCCCTAGTGTTTTCGTAAGGATCCATCAGATCACCTCGCTCATAAGGTTAAAAGAGGCAGACATGATGATGAGTCACACATAATTTCGTAGGATAAGAAACGAAGTACAGTAAGGTGAAGTGAGCGAAATCAGAACACCAAGACTGAAGATAATAAAAATAATTATAAAAACTGTGGAAACAATCAATCCCCCGTGGACACCGCCACAAACCAAAAGAACGTTCCAACGATGCATCCGAAGTTTTAGTTCATTTTATAAAACTTGTCTTCCCTCGAGTCAATAAACTGCTGGTAAAATCAAGCAATTAGTGTAGGATCAGATGCTCTTCAATCCCACTACAGAAAGAAAGGAATCACTCCAGCCTTGAAGTCCACACTATAATCGAGGACTTTGTACTAAAAAGTAGTAAAATAAATTAGACCACTACAATGGCGCAGGTATTGAAAACATCCCAGCCACGTTTATGAGGGATAATGCTACTGTATTAAAAATATCAGTAACAGACTATTTATCTTTCCATTAACACCAATACTGTACTAGATGAACATACTGTTTACCAGAGTAACAGCTGTCTATAAGAAAGGCGACATGGCTGATGTAGAAAAAAACTACAGGTCAGTTAGTATCCTGTGTATTGCATAAAAACATTCTGGAGAGCAGTGTATATTCAGGTGGAAAGATATACTTATGAATGTACAGTACTATAACATTTTGTAGTTACCAGTGGCCTTAATAGTAGAGCGGATAATGGAAAAATCGTGCAAATGGTGATACAAGCATGAAATTTGGCTTGGTCATACCCTAGGGGCTACTTGTCAAATCTGCCTGATTGGCCATTTTTCAAGATAGCTGCCAAATTGACCTTCGAAAGATGATTTTTTTTATAGAAATTGATGTAGTTGGTCAATCTAAATGATCTTAGTGTCGATATGTATGTTTTCAAGCATGCTCAGACGATTTTTTCTATTTCTGATACTCTCAGATATATATTTGTCTTATTTATGACTGGTTTTATGTACTGGTTTTATGTTTTTTCCATCTAGGTGAGGGTAGCATGCAGAGGGTTTATGCATGTGAAGGAGTGATTGTCGGGCACTACCAGGGCGCACTGGTGACATCACTGCTGTGCAACCCAGCATGGGGTTCAGTGTCAGCTAAGAAAAAGCATGTCATACTGCAACAGCTTAGTGTCCCAAATGCTTCTTAACCAACCCCAAATCAGTTAAGCAGCCGCACCTGAATTGACAGGATGTGCCAGCGTGGAAGAGCCGAGCCAAGGATAACGGGGTTTTAGTCATCTGGATGGTGTACAGATCGCACGGGACTAATGACACTGGATAAACGATCGGACTAGGTGTAGGGCAAAAGGCATGAACCTAGTTGTATCCCATACAAGATAGTGCTCATCAGAGTGGTAAAAAGATAAACCCTCGGCCCTGAAGATCAAAAATAGTTATGGACACAAAATCTGCCAACAAATCATTCCTCACTGACTGGGCAAAATGTTGTCTTTGTCAACAGGATAAGAAGGAAGATCTTAAGTCTCCACATGCAAATCCTGCCAAAAAAGGAGATGGCGGTTACAAGAGCTTGGCAAGGAATATTCCTCTATTTCATTCAATCAATGCACTGCCAATCAATCTTGACCCTGGAAGACCTGTTGAAGATGATGGGATAGAGGAGACCTTGAGGAGAAACAAGGCACAGTATCATGAGAGTTGCAGACTTCTGTTCAACAACACAAAGTTAAATAGAGCTCAGAAAAGGCGAACCTCTGCAGTTGCTACAGAGGAGAGCAGCAGTAGCAAGATACCACGAATGGTCAGCTACCCCAAAACAACAGACTGCTTTCTCTGTGAGGAAGAAGCTTCGGGAGATGACATAAGGCATGCAATGACAATGAAACTTAATATAAGATTGAATGATTGTGCGAAGACACTTAGCGATGGAAAACTCCTTGCCAAACTAAGTGCAGGAGATGTTGTGGCACAAGAACCGAAGTATCACCCTCGCTGCCTGGCAGACCTGTACAATCGAGAAAGAACACACCGAAATGTCCATGAGCAAGAAGAAGCACAAGAGCTTCATCCGAACAAGGACTCATACCCAACATTGTAGATCCAGATATTGCTAAGATGGTTGGTACACACCATGACAGAGGAAAAGAGCAATTTCAGTCATTCTTAGAGGGACTAAAGAATGCTATGCGTGATAGTACATGTACTCACAATTACATATCAGTAGACTCGATACGTTTCTACACAAACATGTGGAAGTACACATGCATTCAGATGCACACACACAAGAGTACATATTCACCAACACAGGTAACCCCGATATCAGCACTGAGTCCGGATGAAGGCGAGATAATGTACACAGCGTCCCGCCATGATGAAGGTGCTGACCTGGTAGATCAACATAACCTTGTGCTTTCTACTGTTCCACTTATTTATTGTTCTTTTACAGTCACATCACATCGCCATAACAATCACTATTTGTTCTTACAGATTTGATAATTTTCGCGTTGGTTGTAGTTTTAAGTTACAAACATTATCTGGTTCTTTCTTTACAATGTTGCGCTTATTAATGATTTCCTGCTTCATCAAATTCTATAGACATCATATCCGGCTATATAGTGCTTGCGCTGTGTCCTTGACGAGGTCTGACACGCACACACACCAAGCAGCCACCAGTGAAAGTGGTTAATGACCCGTGGCGGTGTTCTGTTCTTGACTCTGGTTTACTCCCCTAAGTTCCTCCACCATCAAAGGGAACAGCGTTATACTGTATAGTTTGGACAAAACATTTTATGTCGCTGTAATAAAAATAAGAGTTTATGCGATATTTTTAAACAAATAAAAAAATTTTTGCAATCAGAAGCATGTTAAACCATCGTAATTGTACTGGGTTCAGTAACGACAACACAACACACACCACCATCCAGTTTTATCTAATGCCAAAGTCTGATGGATTAGCTGAACATGTACAACGGTTTTGAGCACTTCTAATTATTTGTTCCCACTTTAAAGTAATAAACTCAAAACAAAATGTAGTTTCCATCTTATATTTAGGTCAGCTCCATCCACTACTCCTACTCTACCCTGGTGTACGTGACTATCCTTGCGTGGCTGACTGCCTTGGGTATCTTGTCGAAGGGAGTAATGTTCTACTGAAAAAACACACATTTCAATGAATCTTATTTGGTTATGATTAACATTCTTGCTCATTATTTGGCAAAAAAACATCTGAAAAGCACTCTTACTTAGGTAAGTATGTCAGCTGATGTTGCTCGTTAGCTTAGTTGTCTCATGTTACATGCTAACATCATTATTTCTAAATATGTGAACCTGTATCGTCCAGGTGACGTGGTCCAACTATCACCTCAGGATGTTGATTATCACAGCTACGATAGTCTATCCTGCATCACATAACAACAGCTCCCATGATAAGAGAAAATAGAAGTGTGTGTGTGTGTGTGTGTGTGTGTGTGTGTTTTTAGCATGATTTACTACATTAATAGTCTACGAGTATTTCAGTAAACACATAACTAACAATCATATTCGTTAAATGGTGTAAGGACAGAGCATCTCTCAATAAGTGCACGGACATACCCACAAAATATCAAGACCACTATAATTTCATCACTTCGCTGTTAATGAAAATAATGCCCCATACATACGAGAGACAGACGTGCAGGTACTCACGGTCGGTCAGGCTGGGACTCACGAGCCTTCTTCTCCACCTCTGTTATATGCTCTGCTCTGGTCACTGATTTCGTGCGGCGCAGCAGCCTCATTGCCTGTCAACATAGAAAATTACTTAAAATGTACGAATAAACAATGGCTATATTTTCTGATAACCAAGTTTTGTTGATTATCATAGCTTGTATAGGGTTGCCATACGTCCGTATTTTCCCGGACATGTCCTCCATTTAGGTCTCGAAATCTTCATCCGTTAGGAATTTTTTAAATTCTTCAAAAGTCCGGAATTTCAGCTTCCATCATTTTCTCCACGAAAAAAAAAACATGAAACTGTAATGACGAGAGAGAGAGACAGAGAGAGGGGAGGTGGAAACCGTAGAGATCTCGTTCAGTTTTCGTCAGCTGGTAAGTCACGTGCACGCCTTTATGGTGTTGTCAACTTAGCTGTCAAATATTTGATTGATAAGAGGGTAGAAGTTGATGATGTGAAGTGTTTTGACCAAGTTTGTGGAAAATTACAAGTGATGAATTTAGTAATCTGCCAACACATAAAAAGTGGACCAAATACTTTGAAAAATCAAAGAACTTTGAATGTCACTCAGAATTGCACAAATCTTCTTTGCTATATCATCTCACAATGCAAATGTAGAAAGTTTTTCACTGATGCAAAGTCAATGGACAAAGGAAAGGAACAAATTGAGTGTTTCAAACAATGAAAGGCATTCTGACTGTACAGTACAACTTCCGAGAAACATCTTGCAGTGACTTCTATACCTTTCTAAAGAGCAATCAGCCAATACTGAAAAAGATCCGATGTACAGAAGAAGTATGCATGGGCACAAAGTCACACACACAGTGTGGGAAGAAGACTGCAGCTAAAGAAGATATTCAGCCTTAAGCAAAAGGTAATTTTTTTTTTAAGATTTCTATATCATGTATGTTGTATATTAGCCTACATTAAAAACACAATGCAATACAGTACACCGATACTGGTGTGTGTGTGTGTGTATATATATATATATATATATATATATGCTATGCAAATATGCAAAATTAATTGTCACGGCTGCTTCAAGGTTACATAGCTCCAAAGTGTGTGCCGGGGGGGGGGGTGTCTTCGGAAACGTCCTCTTTTTTTAATGTTCAGATATGGCAACCCTAAGCTTGTAGTTTTATCTGGTTATCCATTCAGTAGCAGAGCCAGGAGAAGGGAACATCTGCGCACATTTCCTCTATACAGTACGTGTCCTGGTATATATAACGGAGAAAATTATCCCAATTTTCCTTGAACGATCCTTATTTCTCTTATTAGAGTTTATTCTCATGTAATTTTTAATTGTAGATGGACTACAATAATTATTTGCTGACAACTAGTAATAAAGGAAAAGTAACAGAGACGTGACCGATCGCCCAAGCGGCTAACGAGCCGATGAGTGGTGAAGAGGATAAAAGAAAAAAATAACGTCTTCTCTGTGACGACGGTTCTAAATACAGTCAACCAGAGCTGGTACTGTACACCCTCTATATCTGAATTGTGATACATATGTTACGGTTATTTTTTTGCGAAACCGGTTATTTTGCAAAATTTCCGGTATGCATGCCAGGAATTTTGCAAAGTAACTTACAAACAGGCTAACCAAAGTTAAAAAAAAAAAACAGGACCACTTAACTGTGTATCAATCTACACGAGCCATCCTAACCTAACCTCTCACTTCACCTAACCATAAGGTTAGATTAGTTTAGGTTGTCTGTTTGCAAGTTATTTCGCAACAACAAAACGTAACACATACACTCAATCGACCAACTCGTTTATGACAGTCAACATCTAGAACAAAATTTACCATATATGAAGTAATTTCCTTTAAACTTATTAAAGTGTAACAATGAAAACAAGTAGTCTGGGTGTGTGGCCACAAATGTAAACACAGTAAAAGAAAAATCCACGTACTTAGTCATAGTGTAACAATATGACGTGATAATTATCTTCGTTAACTATATTATAATACTTCAGGTGAGATAACAGGTAAGTGGCCTCAGTCCTACAGTACGCTTTCATTATAAAGTGTCTTTCAGATTTAGTTCTGCTATCTGTTAGTGTGCCTAGACAGCGCTGAAGTAAGGTTTGCGTGTGTGGTAAACGCAAAACTGTTGAGATCGACTCGCACTCAGTTCCTTGTGTGGGCTCCTTACTAAAGACCTAAGTTGTGACATCATTCGTGTCTTTCGCAAGGGTTGCCCGTTAAAAAAAATGCTTTTCTGTACTTTACACGAACAGCAATTGAGAGATTTAAAAAAAAATAAAAACCCTGCCTCGGATTCTTGACCGAGACGTGTCTGAATGACACTTGCTAGTCATTTCAGGGACAATTTTCGCCCTCCAAATAATTTATCTCTCCTCAGCTGAGAATTTAGAGTAGGTGTTATTGAGGCATATTATAGGTGTTGTGGACACCAGGGGCTGCAAGGGGGCCAAAGATAGCATCAAGATATGTTTACATAGACAGATTTAACAAAAAGGCTTGGAAAGGAAGTTTCTGTTTGGTCACCGTTTAGCAGCAGCGGGAATCGTGACGGGTCATCAAATAACTCGCTGACTGGCCAATATTTAATCTCTGAGTTTGTACCGTCCGTGGCTATCACGTGACCCTTACTATATAGAGCATTTAGCATATGCTAATTAAGGAGGGAGGAATTGAACTTTAATTGGAGACGCGTATGTGCCCTTCAGTGTGCAGTACCCGGTCAAATATTGCACTGAATCTGGAATTAACAGATAACCGTCCCACTTAAAATCTCAGTATCAAGGTACGGAAGCTAATAGCATAAACAACTGTTAACTGCTTTAGAAAAAATGTTGTGAATTCATGGATTAAAAAGAATATACAAGTGAATTTTGTGAAGACTGTAAATTAAGTCCAATAAGACCGACACAAGGATGCGTTCTGGTATACACACAAGAGCTCCGTGTCTGAAGAGGATACGAAACGAATGAGAAGACGACTGTGGTATTTATTTAAGAACTAAACATCCGGAACCCAAATAATTTTCTAACTTTAAAATTTTAATTCATATAAAATTAATATACAAATAAGATCTTCTCAGTTTTATTCGGGTGGCATTGCTTAAATTAGTTCACTGTGCACCACTGTTTTTATACTTTGTTCATGTACATTCTGTACCTGTGAATCCACATGATTTTACTGAATAGCTCTTCATATAAAATATTTAAGACTGATGATTTTATTTAGGTGTATGATAAAAAAAACCCATTATCCTCTTACGACCCCGTCCGTTAAGCCGGTATACTTGGAGCACGTCACGCCTCTACCTGACCAACCTGTTAAAATGTTATCCATTCGTCATAAGATGATCTAGCTTGTCAACTTAAAAAGAGATGATTAGATTGCTCAATGACGACGACACCTACGACTAGTCATGTCCCCCAAATGAAACTAGATTCATATATTAAGTCCCTGATAATTATTTAATGTGAGGAGTCCGGGACCGTCCTAGACATATATCTTATAATTGAAGTGGGGCGACGAACGTGTCAGCTGGCTATCACATATACCATAACACCATTCCCACACTCACACGGCTTGGTTAAGTAGATTAGTTAAATATATTAATTTACCTAGTCTTATTAGTTATAATTAATACAATGTCAAGGGCGAATCCAGGGGGGTCCGGACCCCCCCCCCCTTTTCATCAGAAAATTTCAATATTTTTTCTTTAAAGCAGTACTGTATTGTACTCGGGCGTTTTTGAATAGTAAAAAGTAATTACTATTGACCTCAGAATATCTTCTAGTATCAAGTGTACATGGCTTCAAAATGGCCTCAAAATGCCCATGACATTGGTCATTGGGTGGGCTCGCTATGTTCCCCAACCCAAAACTTCTTGGACCCTCCCTTTTAATATTCCTGAATCCGCCCCTGTATGTGTTACTTTTTTCTTTTATCCTCTTCACCACTGATCGACTCGTTAGCCGCTTGGGCGATCGGTCACGTCTCTGTTACTTTTCTTTTACTTTACAGCGTTTAGGATGTTGCAAACTGCCGTAAAGCATGAAGGCTGTTGCTGGTATTGCCCTGATTGTGTAGTCAAGGTGAATGAGGTGATTGCAAGCCATAGGGGAACGAGTTTCCTAGGGACGAAAATAGATGAAGCTGGAGCCTTCCTGGTTGCCAAACTAAAACAAGTTGGGAAAGAGATCCTTGCTAAGACTGAGGAAGTAGCTGATAGAATGGAGGTGGTTGCTAAGAGGAGTTATGCTGACGTATTAGGAGGGCTACGGGAGGGGGCGGGGAGTAATGCAGGATCAGTACAGGTTCTACAGCAGCTAGGGACTCTGAAGAAGTGTGTCGAAGAATTGAAAATTAACGGGCCTACTGTTAGGGGAGAGGAGGAACAACGGGAACGTTTCCAGCGCAGGAACAATGTAATAGTTTTTGGAGTCCCAGAGAGCCAGGCGGAGGGAACCGAGAGTAAGATAACACACGATAAGATGCAGTTTAAAAATATTTGTACAGACGTTCTGAAGATGCCATCAAACCCTCAGGATGTGAGGAGGCTGGGACAAAAGCAGGGGGACAAGCCTCGCCCCCTCAGGATCACACTAGTGAGTGAGAAGGAGAAATGGGAGTTTATTCTGCAGGCATAAAACTTAGCAAGGAGCGAGGCATTTCGGAGTGTATTCATTCACCCAGATCGCACGGTAATGCAGAGGGAACAGCACAGGAAACTCCTGCAGAGCTTGAAGCAGAAGAGGGAGGAATCGAGGGGGAGCGGGAACGGGTGTACAAGGGTTGTATTCAGGGAGAGAGTGGTGGAAGCAAGTGTGCCGACATAGGGCCGGGGGACAGCAGCGCACCCTCCACCCCCTGCCTGGAAGGTGGCACCAGCTCCGCCTATCAGCCGGGAGGAGGCGACCGCCTCGTAAACAATGACATTTCTAACCACACCCTGCAAAATACAGTGTACTTAGCAAATGCAGCAGCTTCTGAGAATGGGGGTGGAGGGGGTTACTACTAAGAGCAGAGACGTTACCGAGAACAAATTTGGGCTTGAATGTCATGAACACTAATACTGACGCGTT